CCCTGACCCCCAGGAATCACGAACGTGTCCCATTCCGAATTTTGGGAACATCCCTGACCTCCAGGAATCACAAACGTGTCCCATTCCGAGTTTTGGGAACACCCCTGACCCCCAGGCTCCTTCCCCATTTTTCTTGGCCTGTCCTGAGCTGTCCTAATGCCGTGCCCTGTGTCATCACAGCCCTAAAAACAAAAGATAAAATCCCCAATTCCGTCACTCAGATCCGAGCAATGCACGTGYACATCAGATGAAACACACGCTGCTTTGAAACAAGGTTAATTAAGTTTTTTCATCTTTAATTAACCTCGCCACGCAAAGCAATAATAGATGAAAAGGAAACATCAGAGCCATAGCCTGATTTTGAGCTTTCTGCTGATTTTATCCACACCTGCAGCAGAATAATTGCTGCTGCATCTGTGACATCCCAGGGCTCTGCTCTCGGGTGGGATTTTGGTTGTGACTGCAATGTTGTTTAGTTTACAGCTGCCTATTTTGGTAGATTTTGATGCTGGTGAATCAAACTGATGTTTTATATTGATAATACAGAGAATATGATTGACTACTCCTATTTTTTTTTCTAATTTTTGGGTTTGCATCACCAAGTTCCTTGTTACTGCTGGCCACTAATCTAATACTGAGATCTGTGAGGTTAGAAAAGACCTTTGTCCTAGTGGGAAATCAAAGTTTAATTCCAGTTCTGTGACAGCATTTTTCTTATTAACACCCCTCAGTTTTATATCTTAGAAAGTGGCTCACATTTCTGTAAAAGGAACAAAAGAGAAATCCGAGTGAAGCGCTTTGTGGTGCTCAGCTGTAAAAGCAGTTTTGGGATTGATAGCGGTGAGAAATGCAGTGATAAGGAGGGGGTTTGGCAGAATTTTGGGATTGGGATTGACTCCACTAGGCGGCTCCCAAACTGTGGGAATTGAAAGGCASAAGGCAGAAACACAATTCCAACCCCTCTGAAGTGAAAATCGCAGAGGGGAATGTGGTTCAGATGGTGCAGAGTGAAATCCAGACCAGCAGAAAGCTGATCCCAGCTTTAGGAAGGCGCTGCTGCAGAGCTGAGCCTGCCCTGTTTGGGGTCTGTGTTTGGGATCTGTGTTTGGGGTCAGTGTTTGGGGTCTGTGTTTGGGGTTTGTGTTTGGGGTCTGTGTTTGGGGTCTGTGTTTGGGGTCTGTTTGGGGTCTGTGTTTGGGGTCTGTGTTTGGGGTCTGTGTTTGGGGTCTGTGCCATCCCAAATAGCAGAATGAATAGCAGAGATCTCTGAAATCACCGGGAAGGTCAGAACCTGCAGGAAAAATGAATCATCTCATCAGGAATGCCTCTACAAATGAAACCATAAAGGCGAAATGAACCTGCATTTTATTGGAACAGATGGACAGTTGGAGTTCATTAAATCACAGAATCGCAGAATGCTTTGTGTTAAAACTCATCCAACCCAACACCCCTGCAAAAAACCCCATCCAACCTGACCTTGAGTGTTTCCAGGGATGGGCATCCACCACCTCCCTGGGTAACCTGTGCCACTCTTCCACTGCTGCGTTGTAAAAAAAAAAATAAAATATTTCCTCTATCTGGTCTGAATCGACACGCTTTTAATTCAAAACCATTGTCCCTCGTCCTGTTGCCACAGGCCCTAGTAAAAAGCCTGTTTCCATGTTTTCTGTAAACCCCCTATAAGYACTAAAATAACCCCCAGAACTTCATCTGGGCAGGGATCATGAAATATTCTGACAYAAAAATKAACCCTGAGCAGGTATTTTGAATGSTCTGTCTGTTTATTTGTCACCAAACTCAAAATCCCATGTTCTGTTGATCAAAGACAATTCCCAGCAGCTTGAAACTTAAATTTGTACAACCCCAAAACTAAACAAACTTTGAATTACACAATTCAATATAAAYCAATATTAAAATTTTCACTGCTTTTGGTTTGTTTTCCAGTGTGAAATCCGCTCATGCACATTGGCACTAAAATTCGTTTTGCTGGAATGTTCCTGTTCATTAAACCTATTCACAGGAGTGCAGTAGTCAAAATGACATTGCTTTAAATTCAGAGTATTTACAGGAAATGATTATGACAATTGCCCAGCTCATTTCAGCTGAGGATGCCTGTTGAGATCTTTGGGTTGTGTTTCTTTTTGAAACAGGAATTTYGGGTGTGAGGCATGACTTCAGAAAAGG